AAAAGAGAGTCCTGACTGAAACTAAAAGAGAGTCCTGATGAAACTAAAAGAGAGTCCTGACTGAAACAAGAGAGAGTCCTGACTGAAACTAAAAGAGAGTCTGACTGAAACTAAAGAGAGTCCTGATGAAACTAAGAGATAGTCCTGACTGAAACTAAGAGAGAGTCCTGACTGAACTAAAAGAGAGTCCTGAGTGAAACTAAAAGAGAGTCCTGACTGAAACTAAAAGAGAGTCCTGACGAAACTAAAAGAGAGTCCTGACTGAAACTAGAGAGAGTCCTGACTGAAACTAAAGAGAGTCCTGACTGAAACTAAAGAGAGTCCTGACTGAAACTAAAAGAGAGTCCTGACTGAAAACTAAAAGAGAGTCCTGACTGAAACTAAGAGAGAGTCCTGACTGAAACTGAAACTAAGAGAGTCCTGACTGAAACTAAAGAGAGTCCCTGACTGAAACTAAACAAGAGAGTCCTGACTGAACTAAGAGAGTAGTCCTGACTGAAACTAAAAGAGAGTGTTGACTGAAACTAAAAGAGAGTCCTGATGAAACTAAGAGAGAGTCCTGACTGAAACTAAGAGAGAGTCCTGACTGAAACTAAAAGAGAGTCCTGACTGAAACTAAGAGAGAGTCCTGACTGAAACTAAAAGAGAGTCCTGACTGAAACTAAAAGAGAGTCCTGACTGAAACTAAGAGAGAGTCCCTGACTGAAATTAAAAGAGAGCCTGACTGAAACTAAAAGAGAGTCTGACTGAAACTAAGAGAGAGTCCTGACTGAAACTAAGAGAGAGTCCTGACTGAAACTAAAAGAGAGTCCTGACTGAAACTAAGAGAGAGTCCTGACTGAAACTAAAAGAGAGTCCTGACTGAAACTAAAAGAGAGTCCTGATGAAACTAAAAGAAGTCCTGACTGAAACTAAGAGAGTCCTGACTGAAACTAAAAGAGAGTCCTGACTGAAACTAAAAGAGAGTCCTGACTTAAACTAAGAGAGAGTCCTGACTGAAACTAGAGAGAGTCTGACGAACTAAGAGAGAGTCCTGACCGAAACTAAAGAGAGTCCTGACCGAAACTAAAAGAGAGTCCTGACCTGAAACTAAAAGAGAGTCCTGACTGAACTAAGAGAGAGTCCTGACTGAAACTAAAGAGAGTCCTGACTGAAACTAAGAGAGAGTCCTGACTGAAACTACAAGAGAGTCCTGACTGAAACTAAAAGAGAGTCCTGACTGAAACTAAAAGAAGAGTCCTACTGAAACTAGAGAGAGTCCTGACTGAAACTAAAAGAGAGTCCTGCACTGAAACTAAGAGAGAGTCCTGATGAAACTAAAAGAGAGTCCTGACTGAAACTAAAGAGAGTCCTGACTGAAACTAAAGAGAGTCCTGACTGAAACTAAAAGAGAGTCCTGACTGAAACTACAAAGAGAGTACGACTGAAACTAAAAGAGAGTCCTGACTGAAACTAAGAGAGAGTCCTGACTGAAACTAAAGAGAGTCCTGACTGAACTAAGAGAGAGTCCTGATGAACTAAAAGAGAGTCCTGACTGAAACTAAAAGAGAGTCCTGATGAAACTAAAAGAGAGTCCTGACTGAAACTAAGAGAGAGTCCCTGACTGAAACTAAAAGAGAGTCCTGACTGAAACTAAAAGAGAGTCCTGACTGAAACTAAGAGAGAGTCCTGACTGAAACTAAAAGAGAGTCCTGACGAAACTAAGAGAGAGTCCTGACTGAAACTAAAAGAGAGTCCTGACTGAAACTAAGAGAGAGTCCTGACTGAAACTAAAAGAGAGTCCTGACTGAAACTAAAAGAGAGTCCTGACTGAAACTAAAAGAGAGTCCTGACTGAAACTAAAAGAGAGTCCTGACTGAAACTAAGAGAGAGTCCTGACTGAAACTAAAAGAGAGTCCTGACTGAAACTAAGAGAGAGTCCTGATGAAACAAAAGAGAGTCCTGACTGAAACTAAGAGAGAGTCCTGACTGAAACTAAAAGAGAGTCCTGACTGAAACTAAGAGAGGAGTCCTGATGAAACAAAAAGAGAGTCCTGACTGAAACTAAGAGAGAGTCCTGACTGAAACTAAAGAGAGTCCTGACTGAAACTAAAAGAGAGTCCTGACTGAAACTAAAAGAGAGTCCTGATGAAACTAAAAGAGAGTCCTGACTGAAACTAAAAGAGAGTCCTGATGAAACTAAAAGAGAGTCCTGATGAAACTAAGAGAGAGTCCTGACTGAAACTAAGAGAGAGTCCTGACTGAAACTAAGAGAGAGTCCTGACTGAAACTAAGAGAGAGTCCTGACTGAAACTAAGAGAGAGTCCTGATGAAACTAAGAGAGAGTCCTGACTGAAACTAAGAGAGAGTCCTGACTGAAACTAGAGAGAGTCCTGACTGAACTAAGAGAGAGTCCTGACTGAAACTAAAAGAGAGTCCTGATGGAAACTAAGAGAGAGTCCTGACTGAAACTAAGAGAGAGTCCTGACTGAAACTAAGAGAGAGTCCTGACTGAAACTAA